TTTTTGTCTATCCACAAAAAGGAAAATACTCAAGAAGGAGGAAAAAAAAGGAAAGAAAAGAAAAAGTCTTATGCAATGCTGTAAATATGGCCATGACTGTGTGAATGCCTTGAACTCACAGAGATCTGCTTGCTTCTGCCTCCTGAGTGCTGGGATTAAAGGCATGTGCCACCACACACAGCACTAGAAACCCATTTCTAAAAGTAGATGTGAGACTGCAACTCAAGGTCAATTATTTGTGCCATTTTTTTTCTTTATATGAAGGAAGGATTAACATAGCTAGTTAACATAAACACAAAAAGCAGTTATCAACGTTATGTTTTGCTTTGTGGAACCAGCAAATAGAGAAAGACAAGGTATGGAAAACCTTAGGCTAAGATAATCCACTGAATCAGAGCAGAGCAAGAGTGGACGACTGATGCAGAGCTTCCCTGTGGGCAGGTGGGATTTTGAGCCCGGGGGTACTGAGGGATGTGTGCCAAGACACACAGGACCAGTCATAGCAGAGTAGAAATGGAACAGAAGGTTCTTCTGGAATAGTGATCCTTATAAAATACACAAGTTGTAAACACCTTCCTCCATGAGCCTTGTGAGAAACCAGCATACAAGTCAGGCACAGCTCTATCAACCCAGGGCTTCTAATGCCCAACTCTGCTCAGTTGTGTGCCCTGGACCAGTTCTCTACCTCTCTGAGCATCAGTCTGGTTGCCTGTGAAATGAGTCAGCAGTGCCTTCCTTCCACTGTTCTGGTAAATTTACAGATGATCTTATGTGGCAGGCTGTGTAAGCTGGACTTCATCCCAGGAAGGCACAGCACTGCTGGCATATTTGGATGATAAGAAGCTCCTGCTCAGCCTGGTAGTACGCAGGTGTGGATTCCTAGGTGTAGAGATGACAAGTCAGGCACAGAGCAAGGAAAACTAAGGCTTGGGATAGACAGAGAGGAGAGAAGCCTGACACACATTTCCCTCTTAAGGGGCCTTGCAGGTGGGGCACTAAGGGTGACCTATCAGAACCCTAAAGGAGGAAAATTCTTCCAGCCAGACCTTTTCTCCAGTGGGTGGATATGTATCTAGCCTGAGTCTGTTCACTCATTTCATCAGTCACTCTCTGAGCAACAGCAAAACAATGGGATGCTGGGGAAATCAGAAGTCTGGTTCTGGGCTGGGGCAGCAACAAATAAGAGTCCAGGAACCTCCCAAGAAGAGAACAAGTGTCTTTAAAAAAAATTATTTATTATTTTTATTTTATGTGTATGAGTGTTATGCTTGCATATAAGTAAGTGCACCTGTGTCGTGCAATACCCGTGGAGGACAGAAGAGGCTATTGGATCCCCTGGAACTGGAGTTACGGACAGTTGTTAGCTGTCATGTGGGTGCTGGGATTTGAACCCGGGCCTTCTGCAAGAAGAGTCAGTGTTCTTAACTGCTGAGCCATCTCTCCAGGCCCAAGAGAACAAGTGTCTTTGGGAACTAGTCCACAAAGGAATAATGCAGACCCCAGTTTTGGTGTTGGAAGATGCAGTGCTGAGGGATTCAGAGTGAATGGTTCTGAAGTTATTAAAATGTAGAGATTTTACAGATTGGTCTCCTTACTTGATGTTTCATATAACCTCCTGAATCTTATAAACATCAGGCATTGCAAGATGCTAAGGATGTAGAAGGCTGGAAAACTCCTGCAGCTAAGAAGCATGCAATCTAAAGAAGACAGGTCAAAAACAAGCAATGTGTATAGGTGCACACAGTGATGCAGAGATCAGGTGGTAGAGACCTGGTAGTGTGGAGTACGTGGTGGGGAGTGGGTGAGGCAAGGTGGTGAGTCCAAGAGCAGACCAGGTGACTTGAAGTGGGGCTTCACAGGTAGTCACTGAAGGAGAAGATGCTGGATGAGCATCAAAAGCTGAACAGTTCTGATAAGCTGGCAGTGTGGCCACTTGGAAACTCAGTGCAAGTGACATGGGGCTACACTGGCATCAGGAACAGAAGAGCTCTGCCACTGGAGTCAGAATCCAGCTAATCGACAACAGGCTAGATTGCTCTCATACTCATACCCCCATCCTACCTCTCCTTTTTATATACTTCTCTTTTCTGACTTTCCTTTTTCATCTTCCTCTCCAAAGAACATAGGCCGGCCAGGTTTGCAGGCTTTCTCTCTGACAGCCTCCTCAGAGCTAAGTCACATCATTTGACTATGAATCTTTACCTCTCCCTTTTAGCCAGACCAGCCAAGAGTGCCCTCCCTCCTTCTTCCTTTGCCTTACTGTCCCTCTTCTATATACATTCCCTCTTCCACTT